TGCAGGAGGAACAATAGAAATGACCCCCGGGGCCACCATCTTCCAGCCTCCTCCCCACCACTTTTTCTTAACCTTTGACTCTCCCGCCAAAAGGATGTATGCCCAGGTCACGTCTCCATAGGTAAACCAATACCTATGCAGGAAACAGAAGTATCAGGATTCCCCCCCACCCCATACCCTCCAATCACCAAATACCCTACCATATATGGATGTGAGCTCATGTCCTGCCTTGGCCGGATAAAAGACCCCTGCCGCCTCCCTCCCAGTGTGACTTCCCCCACTCCCCTTTCTGGAGTCGAGGAACCTCGCCCGAGGGTGCCCACCTGCTCCTGATGTGACTTTCCTGGCTCCCCTTCTCCTAAGCCCTGAAACTTCACTGGAGAGTGCCTTTAATAAATCTTGCGTTGTGCCTACCTCGCCTGGTGTCGTGTTTATCTTGCCTATAAAACCTTACACTTTCCCACACCTTTCTATTGGCCTATTCCTTCCCATGTTGCAGCATTCAAAATAAATTTAAAAATGGTTTTTTCTTTCATATTGCTACACTTTTGGTTTAAAAGTGTATCTCACCTAGGGGCGCCTGGGTGGCTCAGTCGTTAAGAGTCTGCCTTCGGCTCAGGTCATGATCCCAGAGTCCTGGGATCGAGCCCCGCATCGGGCTCTCTGCTCAGTGGGAAGCCGGCTTCTCCCTCTTCCACTCCCCCTGCTAGTGTTCCCTCTCTCACTGTGTCTCTCTCTGTCAAATAAATAAAATCTTTAAAAAATTAAAAATAAAAAATAAAAATAAAATAAAAATAAAAATACATCTCACCTAAAACAAAAAGCTTCTGTAAGAGAAGGAAACAGTCAACAAAACTAAAAGGCAACCTACGGAATGGAAGAATATATTTGCAAATAACATGTCTGATAAAGGGTTAGTATCCAAAATATATAAAAAACTGATAAAACTCAACACCCCAAAAACAAATAATCCAATTAAAAAATGGACAGAATATATGACATTTCTCCAAAGACATCCAGACAGCCAAAAGACACATAAAAAGATGCTAGGCATCACTCATCATCATCTTGGAAATGCAAATCAAAATTACCATGAGATACCACCTCACACATGACAGAATGGCTAAAACCAAAAGCACAAGAAACAACAAGCATTGGTGAGGATGTGGAGAAAAAGGAACCCTCTCACACTGTTGGTGGGAATGCAAACTGGTACAGCCACTGTGGAAAACAGTATGGATGTTCCTCAAAAAATTAAAGATTGAATCACCATAGGACCCAATAATTTCACTACGAGGTATTAACCCAAAAAAATACAAAAACACTAATTTAAGGGTACACATGCATCCCCATGTTTATTGCAGCATTGTTTACAACAGCCAAATTATGGAAGCACCCCATGTGTCCATCAATATATGAATGGATAAAGAAGATGTAGCGTGCACACACACACACACACACACACACACATATACATACAATGGAATATTATTCAGCCATAAAAAATGAAGTTTTGCCATTTGCACCAACATGGATGTATCTAGAGGGTATAATGCTAAGTGAAACAAATCAGGAAAAGGCAAATACCATATGATTTCACTCATATGTGGGATTTAAGAAACAATACAGAGGAGCAAAGGGGAAAAAAGAGAGAGAGACAAACCAATAGACCCTTAACTACAGAGAACAAACTGACGGTTACCAGAGGGGAAGTGGGTGAGGGAACAGGTAAAATAGGTGATGGCAATTAAAGAGAACACTTACTATGATGAAAACACAAAATAATAAAAAATAAAAAATTGATAAACACACACACACACACACACACACACACACACACACACCCCTCACCTAAATTTCAAGCTTAAAAGCCCACTATCTCTCTGCATGATATCATGACATTTATTTCACCTAAGGAACTAAGCACCTATAAAATTTTTATACCTCCCCCTATATGGTATTATTATATTATACAACATTAATCTTATAGTATGAAATATTAATTATATATACATGTACATATGTGCATGTGTGTGTGCGTCTATATATGTATATATTAGCAGCCCTGGGTGGGTTTTTCAGGCTGGACATACCATGCTTCTGACACCCTTTTGAATATTATCTTCTTTTTTTTTAAGATTTTATTTATTTTATGAGAGAAGAAAAGCACAAGCAGAGGAAAGTGTGAGGGAGAAGGAGAGACAGGCTTCCTGCTCAGCAGGGAGCACGATACAGGGTTTGGTCCTAGGACCCTGAGATCATGACCTGAGCCAAAGGCAGAAGCTTACCTGACTGAGCTACTCCGGTGCCCCTTGAATATTTTCTTCGTGTCCTAGGAGATAAAGCTTTATAACTGGGCATGATTCTACACTGTCCCAGTCTTTCCGTCCACCTGGTGATATCGTTAAAAAAGAACTGGCTTTTAGAATCCGAAGACAAATTGGAGCCTTAGGTCTACCCCTTCTTAGTTAATGAGCCATTTATAATACCTGTTTGTGCCTCAATTTTTTCATCAGAATGACAGGCAATACTAACATTCTCTACGAAGTTGTGAGGAACCAAAAAAATCACATGTGAAAATGTAGCTCAGACAATACTGGACTTTAGCAGTCCAAAGTTAAATGGCAACGTGCCCGAGCTACAGCTCCACAGTGTTTCATGATATCATACAGATGCTGCCCCGGCACCCACCCTTCATTTCCACCAGTGCCTCTTCTTAACAGGGAGTTTTAAACATCCCTCCCTTCCCTGGATAGGCAGAGAATATAGGGAGGAGGAGGAGGAGATTGTTTATTAGAGAGGCTGTAAGGTATCATATCTTAAATAAACTCTAAAATTTTTAAAGTCCTGGTTAATAAGTATTTAGTGGCAGAGCATACTGGAAGCAGCAAAACTCCCAACCTACGACATCATTAAAAACTCTACCCAAAGAGGGCTACGGACAAGTGTCCCAACAAAAGAAGATGGCATAGTGAGGTTTGTTGAGTAAGGCAACAGAGAACCAAAACTACAGCATCTGAAAGAATGGAGATGTTTATTTCCCATAACAGTCGCTGAGTTAAGATGTGAACAGTCCAGAGCTGGGGTGGCAGCCCCACGGTGTCGGGAACTGTGAAGCCAACTAGGATGGATGACTTCTCCACTATCCCCAGGCAGTCCCTTCAACTGCTGGCCCAAGACGGCCAATTGTTACACCCGCCATTCCAGAGCACAGGAAGAAGAGGGAAAAGGGCAAGGGAGGGCACACCTGTTCTAGGGGCACCACGTAGAAATTAAACACATCACTTTCTCTTCACTCCGCTGGCAGAATGTGATCACGTGTGATGCCTCCTTATAAGAGAAAGCTGTAAAATGTAATTTGCGCCAAAGCTCTAGGTAGCTAAAAATTCTGTTATTATAGAAGAGAAAGTAAAGAGAATGGATCTGGGGGGAACCATGAGGCTTTCTGCTTTTCATTTAGAGTTCTTATGTCATTGTATATATTTAATCCTTTTATCTCCTAATCTTAAGATCCTAACATAATGAAAACCTCTTTTTTTTAGCAAAAAATATTGGTTTGGGTAATCCTCACTGAATAATGCAGTCAAGATTCTGGTGTCCAGAATGGGAAACGTCAGGTAATTTGTAAAATTTGGAGATTTCTTATTTTTTCTATTTTAATAAAGAAATTATTATTTTAATAAGATTATTTACGTTGAGATGTGTAAATGTCACGTATTTTATAAATTAAAAAACTGTACAAATATAAATTATTATCCCCAATTTCCATTCCAAAACTGATCAATATTCCATCTTCAGATTTCTGTTCCTCCATAGCCAGTCCTGCTGTCTCAACTACCCTCCCATCCAAAAAAAACCAGTGTTCCCCTGAAGAACCATGCAGTACTCATACAACTTAGTAGATAAATTCATAAGCAGATGACATATATTCACCAAAAGTCTGATGCTCCCACTACCAAGCTATTTAATAAACTCTTGGCTTTCCCCTGAATTCCATATTACATGACAGGGTATAATCTTTTGTAAAGTTGTACTCAGATTGTGTTAATTTCACTATTTGGCACTCGCCTTTTTTTTAAAGATTTTATTTATTTATTTGAGAGAGAGAGAGAGAGAGAACACAGAGGGAAAGGAAGAGGGAGAAGCAGACTCTCTGCTGAACAAGAAGCCCAATGTGGGGCTTGATCCCCGGACCCTAAGATCATGTTCTGAGCTGAAAGCAGACGCTTAACCCACTGAGCCACCCAGGTGCCCCCTAGCACACGCTTCTGAATTCAGGCTGACTCCCTGGATTTTGAGATCCTTGGAACTATCCTGGATTGGGCTTCTGTCACACTAATCCCTTTCTTCTACCATTCCATTACCCTTCCATTACCATTAAGGAGGAAGCCCTTCCCTTCTTTCCAGAACAAACCTAGAAATTTAGTCCTAGAGTTTCTTGATAATAATAGCTCAATGACTGTGACCCTTTTCGTGTACATCTGCCACAATATACACCTGTTTTCTCTCTTCTTTCTCTTTCTTCCCTTTTCTCTCTACAACTTTCTTTTCTCCCATTGCTCTTTGCATCCTCTTGCTATGGTTTAAACCAGTCTAGTGCCTGCCAATGACTCATCCACTCCTAAGCCCTTACCCAGGGCTCCTCAGCTAAACCTCAAAAATTTAACTAACAATGTGAATTATAATGTATTGCTTAACTTGGGGGAACTCCCCTGTATACTTTAGTAGCTCATGGAACAATGTGGTGACTTCCACTAGCCAGGGATGCAAACTACATGATAAATAATGTCTTAAACTTAGAAAAAAAAATGCCTAATATTTTAAATTTTTTTAATTGCAGAATAAACTGAAGTACAGGCACTCAAAGGCTGAGGAGTTCAGCTCAGCAATTACAGAAATGGGGTCCACAGTCCACAGTCCGCTAAGAAAACCACTAACAGAGAAAGTCTTGCTCCCAAACCATGAGGTGACTCTAGCCACTCTTCACTACTGAAATTCTACTACTTGTTGAAACAAAGAATCGCCTTTGATTTTGTTCTCAGTTTAGGATGTGTGAGAATAATGAAAACAGAATGTCCTGGAGGGTAAATGGTGGAAATAACCATGCAGATGGATCTGGCTCCCAAATCCATCCTGACAAAGGGGAAATAATGTAGCAGAGAAGCGAGTGAGTACGGAATGTACAAGATGAGGAAACAGATCATGAGCTTCATAGCGCCCAGGTGAGCTTCAGTCTGGGGAGTCCAAAAAACAGTGGTGTTTTTCTGCATCTTCTGTATATGTCTCCTCAAGGAATGAATTAACAAGGAAGCAGAAGTCACATTAATGATGAACTGGAGAAACGAGCGCAAGACCAAAGAGATCACCAAAGACAAGACGCCCTCGTTGATGTCACATCCTGTACCATTCTTCCCAGGCACAAATTCAGGAAAGCACGATGTCTGTCTGAGCACCACATACAGGAGAGTGGTGAAGGCAGAAATCAGCGCACAAGCTAGCACGAGCCTGGGGATCTTTGGGGAGAGATTTCGTTTCAGCAGGAGAAATACCGCGTGTTGCATGTCCGTAATCTTTACACAGTACAAGGCATTGAGCAAGGTGACAAGCCAGAGACTATTCGAGTCCAAAAACATCCAACACAACAGGAAAAAAGTAGATAAGTGCACTGACCTTTCCACATTTGGAGAGATGAAGGAGTATGTGATGTTGAGTAGAAACAGTCCCAGCGTCAGAAATCTGGTGACGCCCAAGCTGAAGAGGATCCTATTCGAAGAGGAGATTCTGGGGCTTTTGAGCCAAGTCCGAAAACTGACCACTGCAATAAAGAGATTTACAATGAGCCCCGCAAAATTCAAAATTGCTGAGACAATAATGGCAAGGAAAAAGAATATCTGAAGCATCTTTCCTCATCGAGAACTTAGCAGTGTGATCTGGACGCTGGGAACAGGAGAAATACTGAGATGTGCAAGTAGGCACCAGGACCCAGCCAGGAAGGACATTGCTTCTCTAATTGTCTCCAGTGTGACAAATGAGCCATTAATGGTCCAAAAGCCAGCTGCTTTTCCTGAGATGCAAATCTTGCCAGGATTGCATTACTATTTCTTCATTCATATCCTATTTTCCTTAGAAATGCCTAATTAAAACAGCCCCCGTGAACTCTGAAAACAGAGTCCGCTCCGCCAAGAGGATAGCTAGAGGGAAAGGTTATGGAAGGCTCCAGGGATTTCAAATCCAAGTGTCAAAACTCCAGTCCACCAATGTCTCTGTCCCTGTTTCACAGGGAATAAAGCTCTTCTTCAGAGCAACCCCAGAAGATAGTGGGAAATCCCAGGCTTCACTCCCACCCACCCGCTCTCTTCCATATATCTATGGATGACTGAAGTCCAGCTTCTCTCCTCCCTGTAACCTACTGATCTGCTGCAGCCCTACTTTCTCCATCTCTCATTCTGGCCAACATTACATTGTCATCCCTGAGCACATACAGTGATTCACAGTCACACACAGACCCAAGTTCAAGGACTTCACACTTCCTCAAGAGAGCCTTTTTGCAATTAATTCCATCTATCAGGATGATTCCTTTACTTTGCATTCCCCCACCAGTCACACACATGTGTGCCATAATCATTTGCTGTGATATGCTTTGCTTGGGGAAAAAAAAAATCAGCCATTTCATGTGTTTCTTTTACAGACGTGGGTTTATGCTTAGATCACATAAGACTATTTCTTCTTGGGCATTTAGCTGCAAATCAAAGTACTCTGATCCCAAATACACAGTAATGCTTTAGCTATAGTTTTGCATCTCATTGCCTGATTCCTCTGTAATTTCTCAGACAGGGAAGGGCACAGTAAGAGGCAAATTATAGTATTGAAGACTATGAGTGAGTGTGAGAGTATGACATATCTTATCTACTCTAGCAGTTGGGGGGACCCAAGGTGCAAACCTCTATGCAGTCACATGTAGGTTACCAAACTAGCATCAAAATAAAGCATACGAAGTCCTGTTCCTTTGTATGGGAACAGAAATACAAACAAACAGATAGAATAGAACAGAGGAACAGAAGAGGCTAAGATATGAAGACTAGGTCCAGAAGAGGGAGTACATTCATGGGGCCCTTTAAGACAGGAAAGCAGCCTGGAGGGATTCCCTGAGCTGGAACCCAGTGGCTTACAGAAGCATTTGTATAAAACTAAGAGGCACATGACAAAAGCGTGCCCAGATGGGTTAACGAGGCAAACACAGGGAGAACGAGCAAGGCAAGGGAAGGGAAGTTTATATCATAGCACATATTTCCACTGAATTATTTATAAAATAGATCACTGTGTTAAAGTAATTAAGTTAAAATATTAAAAATATCACATTTAAATAGAATAAATAATATGGAGTAAGATATAAGAAGTAAGTGTTCCAAAAGGGGTGGGGGAACCCCATACTGGCAGCAAGAGACCCTATCCAAAATGGGACATAAAGGTTGTTGGGCTCTCAGTAGCAGAAGGCGCTATGATTAAGATGTGATCATGTCGCCTAGGGTCATCAGTGAACACACTGGTTCTGTCAGATGTTATTTATGAAAAGGTCAGTATGGGAAAAGCATTAACAAAACCCTTTCCCCCTCTGCATGAGAATTTAACCTTCGGTTAAATATGGAAGTCTTATGGATACTCGCTGCTTTGGGCTTCCTTGAGTGTGGTGACTCTTTTGATGTGTGTGCCTTTTTTTTTATTTTTATTTCTTTGCGAGACACAGAGCATGAGCAGGGGAGGCGGGAAGGGCAGAGAGAGAGGGAGCAGCAGGCTCCCTACTGAGCAGAGTCTGATGTGGGGCTCAATCCCAGGATCCTGAGATCATGACCTGAGCCGAAGGCAGACGCTTAACTGACCAAGCCACCCAGACATCCCTGATGTGTGTCTCCTTTGACTCAACCTTGGCAGCCATGTCTATGAAATTATTACAAGAGAAACTGGCACCTTTGGGACATGAATCTTTTTAGGCAAGTCCCACCCCTGCACAGCTGTGGATCTCTACTCCTAGCACCTTGGCTCTATGGCCGCAGCAAAGACTCTGCAAAACAGGAAGGCCTGACACTCCCCTGCCCATAAGCTAGGTTGCTGAACCATATCCACCCGAGTAGACCGGTGCCAGAGGCCTAAGACAGCCGTGTAAGTCTTACTATTTCCTGGAGCCCAAGAAGACCCAGTGGCGGCAGGTATACTGTAGTCAGGTGTCCAAGCTCTAGATTCATCTGGCAGATCTGTTGGGAAAACTTTAGGGCCAATAGTCCAAGCAAAAGGACGACTTAGCTCATTTGATGAAGGCTTTGAATAAATGGGAATTACAGTCATGAATAAATGGGAATTACAAACTGTGAGCTGTTTTCGACAGAGTACTAATGTTGCTCCGGAGGAAGAAAGAAGGAAACTTCCACTTCTTAAGCTGTTTTTAGGGCTTCCTCTGTTGCCGGCAGTGCACCAGGTATCTTGAAACTCAGGTAATCCTTAAAACAGTTCTACAAGGAAGATATGGTTAGCCCTATTACAGGTGAGGAGAATGAAGATGAGAGAAAGTAAGTGGCTGTGAGCCAGCATAGGAAATCGGTGGCTAAGGTGTAAGGTGTCTCTGAAACTGAGCTCTTTCCACTGTTGCCCTCATTGGGTCATTCATTCAATAAACTGTTACCATAAGCCAGGCACTGTGGTAGGTGCTGGGAAAACAGTAGAAACACCCACAGCCCAACCTGCCTTCAAAAAACACACAGAAACGGGGCACCTGGGTGGCACAATCAGTTAAGGACCCAACTCTTGCTTTCGACTCCGATGGTGATCTCAGGATTGTGAGATCAAGCCCCACCTCTGGCTCTGAGCTCATCATGGAGTCTGCCTGGGATTCTCTCTCTCTTTCCTTCTGCCCCTCTCGCTCATGCTCGCTCTCTCTCAAATAAATTTTAAACACACACAGAACATGGAGAGACAGACGAACAAACAAAACAACAGAGCTCAGTGTTTCCGGTGCTATGTGAAGGGAAAACAAAGTGTGTAAGGGGGGTGTTCAGGAGGGGCCCTCGAGCCTCCTGTCTCAGAGGACTGGAGCTGTCTTGGCACTCCACAGGGCTCCGGCCCTGCTGAAAGCAGCCTGCACGAACTATGGCCACGCAGTGGTGGAGCCCAGCAGCAGAACAGAGCAGTGCACGTTTGTGGCCGTCACAAAAGGAGTCTAGAGACAAAAATCACGGGGGCCAGAACCCTTCATCATATCTGAAGCATTTGTTTCAGCCACGCAGAGATGAAATACTTGTTTGTGTGTCTTTATTGCCCGCGTGGTGTGATCTTTTTGAGAACAGTCACTGCTATCTAATATAGTGCTTGGTACAAAGCAACAGTCAGATAAATGCCTGCAGTATAAATGAATGAACTGGAATCAAGATGAGCCAGAATCAAAATGGTGTGAGAAGGACGCCTGGGTGGCTCAGTTGCTTAAGCCGCTGCCTTTGGCTCAGGTCATTTTCCCGGGGTCCTGGGATCGAGTCCCGCATCGGGCTCCTTGCTCGGCAGGGAGCCTGCTTCTCTCGCTGCCTCTGCCTGCCTCTCTGCCTGCTTGTGTGTTCTCTCTCTCTCTCTCTCTCTCTCTCTCTCTGGCAAATAAATAAAATCTTAAAAAAAAATGGTGTGAGAATTTATGTATGCCTAGAACACACAGCAGTATCCAGCCGCTAGCTGGAACCCATCCGTCTCTCAAAGAGATCTGCTAGATGGGCTGTAAGGGTACAAACCTGAGCAACCACAAAAAGTTCAGGATTCTCCCTCTCTGGCCATGAGTACCCTACTTAGCAACAGACAGGTATTGAGGCTAGACAGACCACACAGAGAAACTCCACTCATGGGCTTCTGAAAAAATAGTTTTCAGAGTTAACCTGGAAATACTGCTCTGGTCATCTGGCCAGCTCTACCAAGTCGCACTGACAATTTCATTATAGGGAAATCAACAAAATGTGTTCATTGTCAAACTCATAAGAGCAGGAAAAAAAAAAGTTCTTAATTTTGTCTAAAGGTAATACAGTTTTTCTCCTGAGCCCCTATCTGCTGGTTGGGGGTAAGTATTTATTTAATCCAATGAGATAATGAATTTTTTCAGAAAAAAATTTGAGTCTCTTTAGATTTAAAAATTAAAATCTGAGACATTATCATCCCCTTGAAATGTTTCTCCTCTTAGAGTCCGTGTGTAGGGGGAAAGGGGTGGAGATTAATGCTACCTCGTGGTGTCAGAGAAATGTCATGTCCTCCCTCTCCCTCGGCATCCTTGTCTCCTCAGGCTTCCAGAGAGAGGTCCTTGCTCCTTGGTTGCTGCTTGCTCCGTATTCAAGGCTGAGTCGGTGCCTGTGTTTTGCTTCCATTGATCATAGCCTGGGAGCTCTGAACCAGTCCTCAAAGAGAGGGGAAATCTGGACTCTCACCTGCCGTCCTTGCAATCCCCTTTCTGTCTCCCTCTACTTCCTCCCACATCCTGTGGGGACCAGAAGGAGCAGGCTTTCACTTAGACCATGTCCTCTTATACCACCAGCAACAGCAAACTCCACGGATACACTGTCATAAGACTAGAACTCCATGAGGCACAGTCTCTGGGCTCAACTCCTGATAAGCTAAAATGCTAGTAGCTGATATCTGTTGTATAGTTATTATGCTTTAGTTGCTAAAATAATTTACATACATTGTCTTGCTTAATCTGCACACCAATCCTGTGAGGTATTTTATAAAATTACCTCTTTATAGTGAAGGGAACTGAAGTCTGAGGAGGCTTAGTAACTTGCCGAAGATCATGCATCTGAGAAGTGATGAGGTCAGGATTTGAATCCAGTGTGTTAGGTTCCAGAAAATAAAACCCTTAGCCCCTACGCTATACATTTTTCTA